ATGAAAATTGGGTGCACGGAAATCGAAGTCGACGAAGGCCGTTTTTTGCCTGGTCCCGATTGGCCAAGGTTCTACCGATGAGAAAGTTATCGAAGGGCTTGAAAATATGGTAAGGTTAGGTCTAAAGTGAGTGGGCCTATTCGACCCTCCACCCCAAGCCTCAATGGTTTATTGTGGCTCACACCTATTCACACTCGACCAAATGAACCCAGCGTCTTAACAAAGCCGATTAGTTTGTATGGTGAGTGGTCTTTCAGGTCAGATGGTAAGAGTACGGCTCTGTCGATCTCTTAAAACCTGATACGGTCACCAGCGTGGGGGGGGGCAGGCACAAAGTATATGCTCTGCTGTTTCATCATTTTCCAAACAGAGGCGACACGCACTGTCTTTCGACAGTCCGAATCTCTGCATATGATGATTCAGATGACAGTGGCCTGTAAGAAGGCTTGTTAGACATCGTAGTTCATCCCTGCTGTAGTCCAACAACTGTTTGGTATCAAGCTTCGAAGGGTGAATGAACGTCTTGGAGTGAGCCAATCCTGGACGATTCTGCCAGAAGTCCATAAATCTTCTTGCCATCCAGGTGTTCAATGTTTGTTTGACAAAGCCTAAAGCGATGCCAATGACAGGTTCTGGTCCCTCCTTTGCAAGGGAGTCAGCAGCCCCATTGCCTTCCAGGGCAGTATGGCCAGGAATTTAGACCAGAGACAATCTGTTAAGCCTTCCTATTGAGAAGAGTCGTTTTTGGCAATTCGTTACCAATTTAGACGTTGCTCGGTAGGAGCCAAGAGCTTCCAATGTCGCTAGACTGTCCGAGATAATGGTAGTCGGTTGGCGAGAAGTCTGGAGGGTACGGTGGTATTGTAGTTTAATTTTTGGATGGTGATTTGTGAAACGTCCGGCAGGCGTTTTCGTGGAGCAGGATCGGACCTCTTCTGTTGAACAGTGCCGGCTGCTTCTGACGCAATTATCGGTATATTTCGTCGTTGCCTAACAATGGGAGTTTGTAGTGATGATTTGGCCGGTTGCAGAAAGCGACAGTAAATCACCACCATACACTAACCATGGTCTTTTTTGGTGGGTTTTCTTCTTTGGGAAGTACCTGGTCGGATCGTCAGTGTCCAATGACTGTGCTGACGTCTTATGTAGTCGTAGACGATCCACTTTCCATCACACGTGGCGATACAATTCAAAAAGGGTGGTTTTGGTTGCGCAAAAAGAAAGAGAAACAGACCTCGAAACGTGACAATTTGTTGACCGTGGGCAGCCACTTTTCGAGCTTTCTCTCCCTACCAATACGCTTCAAACCATCAAAAACCACATGGGAGCTGACGCCCAGTTATTCCGCTACTTCACGCACCGTTTGTGATGGGTCAATCTCCACAAGGGTTCTCAAATCCTTGCCCTGCTAGCATTAACACTCATTGCCAAATGCGTGGTTAATTTTCGGTGTGTTTTGGCAGCTCTTTCGTTCAATTTGAATTCGCAGAGAAAAATTGGCCGAAAATCGCTCAAGCTTTAAAAAAATTAACAGCATGTATAGAGTATAAAGTGCTCTATCGATCAGTATACAGTGCATTTCTTTAATGCCCTGCCCCCTTTTATTTTTTGAACGGGTCAACTTAAAAAATTGAAATTTGGGATAATGAAATTAATGCATAAATACTTTATTATGAAGAGAAATTGTCAGATGAAACTTTCAAGATGGCGACTGGGTTCCATCTGGGGAAAAAAATTAATTAAAAGGGGGGGTCTTGTGACACATCATTTTGGAGGTCTTGACAAATACTTCACAACCCTAGAATATAAAGTCAATATCTTCACCTACTACAAAATGGCGGAACATCTAGAAATATTCCTTTTTATCTGCCAAATGGCAATTCCAACAACCCGATAAAGTTTATTTTTTGTTCATAAAAACGTCAAAAAATGTCACTACGACAATGAACATCATTGTTCAGTTATAATATTCTCATTTAGTTTTCGGTTTTACTAGTAGAAAGGTATCACGCCTATAATCTTTAAAATGGTCAATTCTCGTCCACGGGAAGAAAAAATTGAGGCGACTTTTATTTACGGTGCCACGCGTAACTTTCACGAGAGCGAAAGGATTTTCAATGAATGTTTAATCGTCCTATCTGTGGAAAATATTACCACCTATCACCAATTAACTGAAGATGACCTTGATCGAAGAACAGAATTCTGCAAAATCATGTCGGAAACCATTGCAAGGTATCCTACCTATCTCTGCAATATTTGTTTTAGTGACAAATGTACATTTTTCAAACGGCAATTTTCACTGACAAAATTGCCGTTATTGGAGTGACACTACACATTATTGTGTTATATTGTTCCTAATGTAAACTACTATTTACCTGTTATAATACCTTATATTTTCCTATTCTCCACTACTTATCCACAATGTTTGAAGGATGCCTGTTACTTTCAGCTATTTCCTTGATAACGATGAGATTGGAATCTTTGGTGTGAAAGTTGAATAACTTTTTTCGAGATCAATTGTCCTAACACCAAACTGATATTTTTGCACTCGACGCGCGTTTCGCCAACAAAGTTAGCATCCTCAAGGGAAGAAAATTGATACTTAGTCTAGTCTGGTTAGTCCTTATATACTGAAAACCCATCCCGTTTAGCCCGCTTTTTAATCTTCTGTTAGGAAGAGAATAATTACTAAGAACTTGCAGGTAGTTAATTACCGAGAAATTCCATATTGGACTACAGGTATACAACCTCAGGTAACAAATTTTAGTATATAAGGATTAACCAGACTAGACTAGGTATCAATTTTCTTCTCCTGAGGATGCTAACTTTGTTGGCGAAACGCGCGTCGAGTGCAAAATATCAGTTTGGTGTTAGGGCAATTGATCTCGAAAAAAGTTATTCCATTTCCTTGATAATTTTATTTCGAACTTGAAATAATTTCATTTCTGAGAATGTAGTGCCTACTATTTTGGAATTATAATATATGTATGACCAAGAAAATCATGTCTACGTCAATTTTGTCATTTTATGTAAGTTTTCATGTTGTTCATTGATTCATTTTCATTTCATGTTTGTAAGTATATATTTATATACAATATTTTTATATACTTACCCAACTTGAATTTCACAAAGAGTCTCACAAAGAAAATAAATATTTTTGCAAGTTCGACTTGAATCGAGAAATTGTTCCAATCACGTCAAAAATACTGCAACCCAAGTGTCTCCAGAAAATATTAACAATACAGTCACCACTTCACTATCCAATATTTCCAATAATTTTATACAATATATACACATATATCCATTTTAATTCCATGCCTGACATATTTTTTAACACGCTTTTATTATCTTCACCTGTATGTATGTTTGTTTGTCAGTTTGTTTGTAACTCACCTTTTCATTTCATATTTGAATGCTGGAAATCTGTATTTGACAGAATTATCGACATTATTGCTTGATCAATTCGCGGGCAGATGGTGGTGTACGTCATCTCCTTGATATAATTCTTTATTTGAAAAAAATGGTTTTTTTTTATTAACACGCGCGCCTTTGTAACCCTCTTTTGCGCGCCTGGTGTCTGCCTTGGGCTTGGTAGCTGATTTTCAGGCTCTCTCTCTCCGGAATCGGAAAATATCAATGGTTATTTTTCTAAACCATATACCGCTGATTGATCCCAAAGTTTAGATAAAATGAATATAGTTTAAAAAACTAAAAAACACGCTTTTAAAGAATATCGAACTGATAAGTTAAATATGTTTTTTTTTAAATAAGCTTAAAACAATAACGAACGAAAAATACTAGTATTAGATTATTC